ATATATATATATATATATATATATATATATATATACACACTCACACATATATATATATATATATATATATATATGTGTGTGTGTGTGTGTGTGTATGTATGGGTGTAAATATACACACACACATATTTGTGGGTGGGGACAGACGGTCATCGTGAGAGTTAGCTGGTGATTTTAAAGCAGCGCTGGGTCGCTGCTGAGAGCTGACATTCAGGCTGGCGTGGTGTTTGAATGCTGCTGAGGTTGGCTGAGAGGAAGTGGAGGAGAATATATTTATATATATATATAACCAAACTGAATATGAGCCTTTTGGCATTTTTAGTTTTTCAATTGCAATCACAGATCTTTGTGGGGACCTAAAAATGGTCCCCATCCCATCAAAATAACAGGTTTTTATTACATTTGGTCCCCAGAATGTAACATAAACATAACCTCCTACCCCCCTCCCCTACACACACACACACCTGTAATCATATCTTTGTGGGGACTGTCCATTCATTTCTATGGGAAAAACCCTAATCCCAGCAATGACAGCCTTATCCCCAGGTGACCCCAGAAATTGAAGTAAATCTAAGAATGCTTTAAAGTATTTCACTGCATCTGCGTTGCTGGAAGATCTTGTATAACAGCATCCTGATTATTAGAGCTCGGATTTATTAATTAAATTTGATGAATTGAATAAACAGATCAGCCTGCAATGAATTAATTTCACCAGAGAGTTGCCCGCTGGAGTTTTTTTTCCCTGCTCTAAATGTCCCACTTCAGGCTTGGGCTAAATCCTGCACACAGCTGCCATGACATCATGGACCGTGTGCTGCCTGGGCTGGCCAAGACCGGAAACGGGCAGGCCTGCTTTCACTGGACAGGCCTGCTTTCACTGTCAGCACACAGTTCACGGGGTAGAAGCAGGATCAGCGGCAGCACCACCACCCATGACACCAACGACAACCATATCTGTATGACTTATGCAAAGGACCAGGTTCTGTTAGAATTTAAAAATACGTTAAACTTTATCAAATATAAAATATCCATCCATCCATTTTCTGAAACCACTCATCTTATTCAGGGTCACAGGGGGTCCAGAGCTTAAAATATACAATATACATTTTTATATTACATTTCTATAATATGTAATATAAAACATGACTTTTTAATATAGTTTCCAGACACCTGTGACCCTGCATAGGACAATCTGATATAGAAAATGTTGGGATGGATGGATGGATGGATGGACGGACAGACGGATGGATGGACGGACTTCTTAATTTTACGCTTGTTGCAAAGAGTCAATATATTTTAACAAATTTTTTAATTTATCTATTTATGATATTATCATATAACTCCATGAGGCCTCGATATATCTCCTGTGTTTATAGCCCTGGGAGCAGAGGGCCGCACACAAAGGCCTCGCCGCGGAGGCTGAGCCGTCTCCCTGCTCCCTGACATATAATTAGCAGACGTCATTCCCAGAGATGGATTCGCCGGATAAGAAACAGAGCTGCCCCCCGGATGGCAGCTGCGCCGGTTTTACACCTGCTTCCCGCCGATAAGAGGGGGCCGCCTGGATATCGAGTGTCACGGAGGATCCGTCGGACAGCAGAGGTCCCCTCTCTGCACTCTCAGCGTCCACAGCAAATGCTCAGATGTCCACGGGTGTTGATCTCTCAGGAACACTAACCTGATGCTGAGGATGAAAACATCTGAACTTCAATATTCGACATGCCCACTGTATTTATGTGCTGGTGGGGCTGCTTTCAACTTCAGGAAAAAGCTAAACATATATGAAGATATATGAAAACAGACTCTGAGTATGGCTTTCGCAAGCTGCTTCATCTGAGATTTATTTCTGTTTTCGGCTTATAAAGCTAATCGGGGGATGGTGATGTCCGGCATGTGGTTCAAAAGAACCACTCGCCTGCGCTGAACAGCCAGGCTTTCTCCAAGTCCCCCTCCCTGTCCGCTGTTGCCTTGTAAACTAGGAAATCTGTTTGGGACAAAGTCACAGATTCAGACTGGAGCCTCTGCCAGCCTCCATACGCACTGGTCTCAGGCGCCCGGCGGGAACACGTGCCTCACCGCAGGGAAGAGGCCAAAGCCACACTGATCACAGTCGCCTGTGATCCTCTATCCATCCCTCACCTCCCTGTCCATTAGGTCCTACCGCCATGCAGCAGAGGATCAGCATCACTGCGCAGTGCAGAAGCCCTCAGTGATCAACTAACCTATATACACAATGCTGTCTTAGGCAGTCAAATTAAATGCAGAAAGCCATTTATCTGCATGGATAATTAAGAGTATATTTGCTCATAAACATTAGAGTATATATTCTGAGCGCAACAAAAAATATAAATTTCTTCTGTTCCTCAAAAAGTTACCAATACTTCAGCTCCCAAACTTCCTCTCAGATGCGCGCTAACCATTCCACGTATTTGTTAAATATCACCACCAGCTCTCTGAATTAATTAAATCAATCAGTTAAATTATTTGATGAAGTACTGATTAGCCAAACACAGTGTGCTAGCAGTCGAGTCAACAAATACACGGGTTTGAATATCGGACGGTTTCTGCACGTACTTGTGTGATTTCAGGAGTGGTCTTGAAGTGACTAATCAGACTCACTTTTTTGACAGATGTAATATACTTTTTTCTAACAGGAAGACTATTTAAGCATCATTTTCTTTGACTGCTTCAGAATTTTGCACAGTATTGTGTCTGTGCATATATATATATATTCGGAGTAATTTTTAAAACTCATTTATCTTTTATGTCATTTTGATTGCCATCAAGGCAACAAATAAAAAAATGTGGTTCCTGAGTCTAGTTGAGTGCAGACAGCGTGGATTAATTACTGCTTGGTAACCCCTGAATGATCAGCAGGAAGAAGTTACTGCGCGTAGTGCCATCGGATGACAGTGGGCTTGATTCAGGAGACTCGTTCCAGTCACCGATCCCGCGGGGGCACCGCTGATCTGGTGGCAGGTGTCTGTTGCTGCAGCGTAATCAAAGTAAGCCTCAGCAGATCTGCTTTCATCCTGGTTGGTTGGTCAGTGCTGACAGAGTTTGACTCTACATTCCGGAAAGTACTTGTCAATGCCTTGGCAAAGGACCAACTCATAGAGCAAAATATGGGACTCCCCATACCTACAGGATAAACCACACCTACCAAATCAGCACCATTAATCGTCCAGCCCTACAGCCTGAGGGACGTGCTGCCAACAAATACTATGCTAATGAAGCCTCTGTAGAGCAGGTGGCCTGCATGCGTCTTCTCCAGACTTGAGGAGGTGACTGACCCCATGGTGCTCACCAAGACCTATAAGCTCTCCTAAGACTCTGCTTTGCCAGACGCTGCTTACATGAGGCAGTGAAGAGCTTTTCTGCAGGGAGAGCCCGGAAATTATTATGCAACAAGCATTTTCACCCGTTCAATCAAGCAACCCCATCTCCAGCTTTGTGATCAAAGAACGTTCCAAGAAAACGGGTTTTAACATCAGCTTTCAAGAAAACTACAGGCTATTCAGAAGAAGCTGACATGCAACATGAATTATAAGGTAGGGCTTATCTCCTGTGTGGAGAACCTAGCAAGGGCTAAATTGAGGAGTTTTAGAAGAAAAAGACCCATCAGTCAAATGTTGGGGAGGGGGGGGTTGAAGAGGGTGGGAACAGGTACCGCACAATGCTGGGACAAATTGGGAGCATCCAAACATCTCCTTAAGTGCAAAAATGGGGCCAGTAGAAAACAGAGATAAGAGAGAAACAGAGATGCTATGGTGATGAGACAAGGAGGGTGAGACACCCTGAGAGAGCTGGCAGTGGAGCGGTTAGAAAAGGGAATGGGAGGGAGATGAAAGGAGGAGATAAGAAAGAATATGCAAGAAGAAGAAAGGAGAGAGGAGATGAAGTTGGGGGAGGGGGGGTTGATGGTCTACTCAAAGAGTGCTCAAACTCCTTAATGAAGCAGCTACCCATGAACAATATATGACAAGGATTTTGACAAGTACGATAGGACCAAGGCAGTATAGTGGCTCAAGTTGGCTTAAGTCTGCATGTGTGGGTCGGCCCTCATCAGTGCCATCATTGATTCTATGCGGCGACAAACATAAAGGAAAACACTGTCTCACATCCAAATGACTATACAGGGGAACAGCAAATGGAGTCTAGTTGTTGCTGAACAGACTGACTGCCATTGTGAATGTGCTGACTGGGGTATGGTCCACAGCAGTAACTGCTTGGATGGACAGCCAGTCCATCAGGCCAGCGGGAGTGGGAGCGGGTGCTTGGAAGTCATCATTGGTTACTTGTCGGCATGGGTGTCAAGTCTCATGATTTACCCCTGAGGCTCATGTCTTTCAACACTCGTAGCTCTGTGAGGTAAATATCATGGGTTGCCAGGAGCCCAAACCATACAAAGACAAAATGACGACATGCTGTTGAGTGGACATGAAAGGAGAATCAATCAAGTCGGCAAGTTTCACCGTTGCAACCTCCCCTCCCACCGGTCAACGACTTTGACCATGATCTGACCCCCAGGTGACAAGGTTAAGGACCCCACCATTTTCCTTTGATGGCTTACTGTTCCCACCTCATCGTGCAGGTTTTTAAAATCTCCCATATCACCGTTCTCACTGCAGTGAGGTTTATCATGTCTGCGTCAGGAATTATGACTGGCCAGTGGGAAAGAGGCTGATCCCACGTGATCTTGATCGTGTCCTGAATAGGAGCCGCTGTTGTCATGTTCCTCAGTTAGGCCAAGCTATGCAAAAAACGGATGTGGCTACCATCTGAATGAAATATGTGCCTGGTAATGCTGAAAAAGCAAATGAATTATGCAGTAGCGGTTAATGCAGTCATTAGCTAAAAGCGAGCAGGGTGAAGGTGAACACTGAGGCTGATCAAATGAAGACGACAGACAAATCAGACTAATGATGGACAGGGTTAACTAATCATATCCACAAGCCAGCTGATTCTTTTTGTTTTTTGGACAGGCAATAGGCAGGACATACCGTTTTTCTTCCCCCTCTGATAAGTTAGGGTCCTGCTCCTTGGGCATGTGTTCCATTCACCTCAATTCCATCCAGCAGCCAATCGTTCGAGACTGAGGCAGGCCCCACCCTCGGATGCGTACTTGGCATTCGCAGGTTGCGCCGAGTCAGTCGGCCATCACGCAGCGGCCAAGGTCTCCGCGGCAACCCTTCCCGGTGACATCAGACGGATGCTTTGACTCTGACTTCTAGTGCTCAGGGATTCAGAGAGAATGGAGAGGCACCTGAAATAGAAGTAACTGATGTTAGTGTACTGAAATGTCATGGCAAGACTTCTGTAGGTGAACATATAGTACCAGGCAAAAGTCTGGATACGTCAAGCCGTCTACATAGGAGCGTGATAATGTTGCATCACATGACCTGGCCATCTGAGCAAAATCCAGTAGAAATGGTCTTAGAGGAGTTTTGTCTGGTACTGTAGATGGCTATGACTCTTTTTAAATTAGTTTTCTTTATTTTATGCTTTATATGAATGGTTGAATATTTTTGAAATTCAATGACAGGTTGCCCTCTTAGTCGTATTGTAGTGTACAGGAAAAAAAACAGAGTAACTGAGGGTAGTTTTGAAAACTCTGGATGGCTAGACGATGCTGAGATGCTTATTCATAACAGGTTTAAAAATTTCTCAGACAACCATCCATTCTCCAGAAGTGCTTATGCAGCACAGCTTTGTGGTTTGCCTGGAGTCATCATGTCACCAAAACTGATATTTTCGGTACCAAATCAGAATCAAAGCACACAAAATGTACCAGTTTTTCCCTAGTGTCAGTAGTATCCAATCAAAAGTTGGTACCTGTTACCGTACTAGATTACACTAGATTACACTGTTACCACACTAGATCACACTAGATCACATTGTTACCACACTAGATCACACTGGTTTACACTGTTACCGAACTAGATCACACTAGATTACAGTTACCACACTAGATCACACTGTTTCCGTGCTAGATTACAGGAAAAAAAAAGATTACAGGGTGCGTTTACCAAATTTCATGCTGTTTAAAATAATAATCTTTAGCAGAAGACTACATCTAGTTTGTGATTTAAGACTCTGAGCAGCCACTGCATGTTGCAAACAAATTTGTGGACGCCCACCGACACCTAAAGATAAACAAACTTTCAAAATAGCAGAGATTCAGCAGCTGCACCACAACAAACATTTGTTGATAAAAAACATTTGTTTGATAAACATCAAAAGTTACATTTGGAAATACTTCAGGGACGAATCATAGTCACTAAAATCCTGTTTGCAAAAGATGTCAGCATTCTTTTCAAACTAAAGCAAATGATACGTCAAACCTCACTAAGAACATGAAAGACAGACCATCCATCCATCCATGTAAATATCTTTACTTCTTTTATTGTTAATTTCTTATTTATATTCTTCTGTTGATTCTCTTAGTTTTAATAAAGAAATGGATGTTGAATGGAAAATTAGTTTTTGTTATGGCATGGAATTAGGTATTGAGAATTGAAAGATTTCAGTCGTATCGATACCAACTACTAAACGTCTGGTGTCATGACATCCCCAGCCAGGAGGCTGTCCCAGGAGAGGCGTCGGGCAGGGGACACCCTGCGCAGCATGCCAGTCTGCCACAGGGCACACACTCACGCACAAAAAATACCAGTTCAGAGACACCGGTTCACCGTGGGAAGACATGAGTGCCGGCAACATGCAGGCATCACACACGCAGAGCCGGAGGTGGGAATCAAAGCCAGAGCCCCAGAGGTGTGAGGCCATGGTGCTGCTCAGGGAGACGCGACACCGCCAAGAGTGTCGGCTCCCGTCATGGCCGCTGGAGGAGCGACTCCAGCAGGCAGCAGCATGTTCCCGGAGCATGTGCTGGTGATAAGGCTGCTTAGACTGCGTATCTCCCATCCTGGCGGTGGGGGGGCAACCCCGAACACAACCTGATTCCCTGACTTTGAGGGAGGAATCACACTTGGATAGCAGAGGCAAAGTCTGCCAGACGTTCTTTCTTTGTGTGAGGTTTACAAGGGCACCGTCTGTCTTAAAAGTCAAGGCGAGTGAATGGGGGGGTGGGGGGTGGTGATGTTTTGGATTCCCTGTGGTGCTGCACAAATACTAAAGTGGAGAAATTTGTCAGTGACTTGCTAAAAATAAGGCTTTTATGCCTCCATGGGTAACAACCTCGCTGACCTTCCCGAGGTCATCAAAGAAGGGATTCAGCTGCACAGCCCCAGCAGCAGAACTTTTCTAGGACTTGGCAGACTGATGCACTGGTGCGAGCTTTACGATGTCTGTACAGTTATCCGCGCTGTTTATAGTTCTGGTGATCTACAAATGTTACCTTTATTTACTCATGATAAATGCAGTCAGTATTTCTGCATGCCTCTTAAGTTCTTAAGTCTGCATTCATTGCTCGATGCAGTTCACTGTGGATCTTTCCAGAAACAATGGAGGCGATTATGTCATCAGTGCTCTGTCTTGGTACATGGCATTAAAACATAAAGGTAGGAGTGTCATGGAGAACATAGACCCACACGATCCAGCCACCACACAAGTTTTTATTGAAACGTCTAGTTCTGGGTGTTTGGATACTTTCATATTGCTAATGAGAGAAAAACCACAGAGACCAACAAAGAATGTGGCAAAATGGCGCCCAATCACTACAGCTGTGAAGAAGCTTCCCCTGCCGTAATCCTGCTTGATTTGGGAGGTCGTAATTGCACATGGTATGGACCCCCCACTAGGCTCAGGCGATTCCAAGAGAACACTGCAATATTTACCCCTTTGTTGCTTCAAAACGATAATTGATTACTCCACCATTAAACTACACTTCTGTATGTAATGGCACTAAAAAAATCCCGCCATGTGAAGAAAAGGCACCCTACATCTAGACCTATTGGAGCTCACATTCACTTCATTAATTAGTGAAGCAATTAGCTTAATTTCTTCAGCGAAGATGAGTGACCTGGTTAAGGAGAAGTAGACTACTGCAGTCACGTGACGGTTTTTTGGTTTCCGGCAGTAGGCTTGGGCGCTGTCATGGTAACACGATATACTGCGGTATTTTGAAATCTTGGCAACAAACAGTGTCATATGCCCCTCCGCTCAGCAAATGTTTATCGCTAAGATTTCTAAATACTGGGAGTGAGTTGCTTTTGAAGATACGGTCAAAATGCCGCACGATGCCTGGATGGGTATGATGATACGAAAAATCAGACACCGCCCAAGCTTAGGAGCCAGCTAAAGTAACAAGCCACAATGTGCATAAAGTACATAAAGAAAGAGGGTGACAGCACAAGCCTTTACTCTCATAACCCATCTCATTTCACATGAATAAGTAAGCCTACGTTACAGTGACCAGTACTCAGGTCAGCCAGCCATTAAACCTTTAACCATTAAAGCACCGACAGAGAACACGAGTGTTTAAGATAGAAGGAATGCACAAATGCGATTACGAGACACAAGACTGCAATAAAAATCGCAAGTTCGCACAATGTCGAGCTTTGGCACATTTGAGCATCATGTGACACGTGAGGCTACAAAGTACTCTGCGAAATTACCGTCCCCAGCTGTGTTCAGAGGTACAGACGGCTAGCAGAAAGGCAGACTATTTATTACCAAAGATGGACAGGTGGTTTAGACCCTCACGTGTCCATCACAGCTTACTTCATAAAACCCAGTCTGAAAGCAACACGCCAAAGGTCCTAGCCAAAGCAGTGGGTTAGTCAATGATTTCTTTTTACTAATGATGTTTTAACTAATTATGCTTTTAGACTATTACAATTATAACCTCCATATATTGTAGGTTCTTCTCACATGTATTTAAATATTGAAATGTATAAAGATATTTATAATTCAAAAAATATTTAAATATTATAATGGCTCCAAAAAGTCAAATTACACAATGCAGATTTTTTTTTTATTGGTTTTTTTGGTGGCAAATGATTAAAATAATCATGGCTTTCTATCGTCCTCTCTGAGGTTTTTCAAATGGCCTGTGGGCGACTCCGAGAGCCAAGTACGGCTCAGCCCTACTCTTGCGCTCTTATGAATGTCTCCAGCAAACTTTGATCCCCTTCCATTCACAGCCACAGATGTGTGGGCCTGAATTTAAGTGGCTCCCGCCCCCCTTTCGGGGCCCAAGCGTTTACTGAGTACTGTGCCGTTACTCACACGGCATCATCGGCGCATCTGGGGGTTTGTGTTACTGTGACACCCAGCAGGAGAGGAGTAACCCGGGGTAACGAAGACTCCCTGATCAAAGAAGAGCGTGTTCTACCGCCCCTGACCAGAGCTCGCCATCGGCGAGGCAAAGGGGCGACTAACTCCTAACAAATGCCCCCCTTTTATCTGCCATTTTGAGTGAAACCTTTGTTTCGCGTCGTGACAAAGCGCCATCTGTGAAGGAGATAGAATGTCCCACTCCCCCAGGATGCTATAAAATACCCCCCCCCACCCCACACACACACCCGAGCAGCTCTGTGACTGCAGCCTTGCCTTCCCAGGGACCCAGATAAAGCGCGCATATTGTGAACGGGCATGGCGGTACAGGAGCAGCCAAGTCGAAGTCAGGGGCGGGGTATGAACAGGAGCGGCCAATCACACGCAGGTACTGAAACAGCCCTGGGAAGACAGCGGCTGACAGCTGCAGCCTTGGTCAGGCGGGTTAACGGGACCCTGCTGCCCAGAGTAGGATAGGAATCACGGAAGGAGGACGGAGATAAGAGATGCCGAACGTAAGCGAGGCATGAAAATCCTTAACAAAATTAAGTCGGCAAAAATGAACACCAGAGCCAACACATGTGGGTAAGCAGAGCCGGATGAGCTGGCCTGACTGGCGGCGTCCACAAGAACCCCAGCGGGGGCAGGTGCAGCTGTCAGGTAGCCCCCGTCAGGTAGCCCCCGTCAGGTAGCCCCCGTCAGGTAGCCCCTGCTCGCTGGAGAACAGAGCTCATTTGTGTCTCATTAGGAACAGAAAGTAAATAGGAAGGTGAAGGGCAGAATGTGAAAAACGTAGAGATTCCCTGCTAACTGCTGAACCCTGCCGGGGGGGGGGGGGGGGGTCATTTCCGAGGTCTAACAATGCAGAAATCTACAACCAAAACATCCTGCAAAGCCAGCGTCCGAACACGCCCAGGGCCACAACACATCACCCCCCTGCTCCGCCGCCACTTGGTTCACTCCACACTCTTAAATAGCTCTGCTTCCCTCCGTCGAAGCGCTGCTTAATTGCATTTTTAAAAATGCATA